TATGCGTTTGGCTGTTTATGCCTGTAGCCCTGTGATTCTCTTTCCTTGCCCTCCTTCGCGCGCCCTCCCTGCTTGACCCAATTTTTCCATAGACGAGCACATTCCACGCAGATTTATATACTTGCATACAGTCGCCTCAGCCCCGCTCCACCCCTCTCCCCTCAGAAGGAAGGAACGTTTGATACTCCTCTCTTCCCCCCCACCCCACCCTGCCCTTTTATCTTACTGCGCGCGCTCTCTCTTTGTTTCTTTCACTTTTTGTAGGTTTTGCCCTGCCACTTTGGCAGTGCGTACTTGCTCTCTCTTGGTTCGCCTTCGTAAAACCTGCGCTGTTACGACCCACTTTTTACCAAGTCTTCTACACTTTTGTTTCACTTATGTGCTCACGCTCTACCCACTTTGTTTTCCCAAGATCCTTCTACTTTCAATTCACACCTCTTTTGAGTCTTTTTGTGCGTAGTCAGCTGAACCTCGCCGGAGTACGGTATGATAATTGTCGTCTGCCCACGCCATTATCCGCATGTTTGCGAATTTGCATTTCGTGTCGGCTCCCAGGGTGGTTAGATATTTGGGCGGGTGCATCGCGCCTCTGCATCAGCGACCTGCCTACTCGCAGTCTGGACCCTCTCGTGGACAATAATTACATGTACTTCGATAAACGGTATTACATGTCTCACTTGCGTTCAACTTGGTCCTTTATCCTTATTATTGTAGCCGGCTGGCTATAATCAGGCCAAAGTTTGCTGTAATACATTGTGTCTATAAAGTGTAGGGCCGCCTAAACGGGGCCGCGTGGTAGGTGCGCTGAACCAACACGTGCATGTCTACTATCATTCAAGATTAATCCACGCGCAAATCTTCGTCCCAGAGGTAGCGGCAGCGGCAATTAAAAGGCGACAATTATAGGGGCTGCAAGCCAATTAACCATCACTGATGTACATCCGGAGGTGACTCCGCAGGGCTCTGTACGCCGACGATCAATCGATACATCGATTGTTTGCTTTTTAATCCGCTGACAAGGCTTCAATCAATCTCTGGATCGTCTTGCGTGTCATCCTCGATGGTGTTTCTGTTTGTGTCCTCCGAGGCCAGACCCATGGGCATCGCCTTCGGATAGCCATTTCGCATAAATTGGTTGCGGAGATATCAGGCCTCCGGCCTGCTGCAACGAGTCTGCATCCGT